CACACACAGTAGTAGTGATTACTGCTACCCTTACTTTGGACTATCACAGGGCTTATGTGGGACTTGGTGATGACTTGAGCCAGTATAGGGTAAAGAGTAGACAACCAGTATAACCCAAAGGGCCTCAGTGAATTTCAAAAACAATCAGGCCAGAAAATGCACAAATTATATAATTGATTACATTTAAATTATAAAAGTAAAAAGGACAGCAGTACCTTTTCATGAATAGTTTCATTTGTGAACAGTTCGGTTTACAAACAGAAGCGTTTGTCAAAATTTTGTTTCTGTTTGCAAACTCTGCTTCAGATGATGAACATGATGATGACCATCTTTCCCTCAAGAACACAAACATGGCCATTTGCTCCAGAATTGTGGGATGAATTAACTTTGTGAATTGAGGTACCTCTGCATGAAAATTTGCAAAACGATTCCAAGATGTCAACAATTAGGTAACCCTTGAGGGAATTGGGCATGAGAGGTGCTGGGTTCTGAAGATAGGATTATGTTCAGTTTGAGAATTCATTCAGCAATGTATTATTCATAAGTATTCAATTTAGATACTTCATTATTTATATAATGTAATGTATATAATATATAAGGTAAATTTTACTATGTTATTTTATGCCATATTTTAAAGTAATTTGTTCCAGAATTTTAAACAGATAAGCAGAGGGTGCACAATAAGGTCATAGACACTGCACATAAATCAGTTATGACATTTCAATTGTGTAAAATAACGTGTATGTCATGTTTCCCTCTAAAGATCACTGAGGCTTGTACCTGATAACTGATAACCTGTACTTGGCCTTACTCTGGAGTCCATCTCCAATATGACCTGCTGGTACCCAGGGCTTTCATTTATGCACCCTCTGAGAATGTTCTAGAATTGTCCTCACAAACCACTGTCTGCCCTTAATACAGAAATCCATCAAAACTGAATGTCAGGAATATTCTAATGTGAAGATGACCCTGCTGTGTTTCAGATGCCCCAACCATGAGGATGCCACCACCAGCTAGCACAGTCAGAATGTGAGAGCACTGGCTGCCAGAAAGACATGCACATACTTCATATCCAAAAATTTTATAAATCTTAACTTTGGGTCAATTATTCCAAAGAGAAATTGAGGAAAGAGCACAGACTGGCAAGGGAGAAATGAAAGACCAAGCTGAGAAGGACATATTCTCATTTGATGAAACCCTTCTGAGCTAAGATTGCCTTAAACACTTTTAATTTGATTTCTGAAACATAAATTGTGTGGAACCGTGAGAATTACACAGTATCACAGAACAAAAAGCCTCACTGCTCAGAGTGATTGCCACAGACCCAATCCCTGCATCCTGTATCTTACCAGGCAGCGAGGGGCCATGTGTTCCAGGAAGTGGATTTAGAAAAAATCGAATCCCCTGAGTTCAGAATGGAGTCTAGACAGTAGTCTCAGTTTCCAGAATACAAGAATGCAAATCAGCAATGTTAGAGAATTTTTTTTTTTTTTTAAAGCACGTGGAATTTAAACTAAGTCTATTGGGATGAATCCAGGGCTCCAGAGTGCTCCCTACACTGTGTGCAAGTGTTTCCAAAGTGTCCCTGTCCACTCACTGAGACCAGAGTGTTCCTCCATCCCTACCCTTGGTGATGTTTATGCTGCTAGACCAACGCTCCAGTTATCTATCCACCGCTACTGGCCAAAGTCACCCCTGCCTGTGACTTTTATTTCTGTTCTGCCTTTACAGGACTGTGGAATCTCTTATCCGTGGTTCCATGGAGAACACTCGTGTCTTCTTTTTCTGTATTTCATGCTGCACCCAGCAAGGTTTTCTCAGCTCCTAACAGGGCATCATTAATGCTGGGTCAATGAGCAGGTAAGATCAGCTGGCACAACGATGCCCTGCACATTACTGCACTTAAGAAACATCTGGGGCCAGTGGAAGGTTGCATGGTTTGACATCCTCCTCTACCTAATATGATTTTGAATGTTGAAGCAGAAGTCACAGCCAGTTGACAGGAAAGTGATGTAGAGAGCCCATGATGGGGAGTAGTTGCTGAGTCTCAGGGAGGCTGGGCCTGAACCAAAGTAGGAGCAGGCTCCCCCAGGGCTCCAGGAATACTTGATTTCCTTTAGAGTAATTAAAATATGCTGTTGCTAAGGTTCCCTGCTGTGTTAGATCAGCAGCAGCCCAGCCTCCAAAAAAAAAAGGATTTGTCTTTATTAATCCTTTTCCTTCTCTCTCAACTCTCATTCAGATCTCACCTGCTGCAGGGGTTCTTGTTCTGCTCAGGGGGAGCTGCTGCATTCTATCCTGAGGCCCCACCTGCCAGCAGCTCTGGGTTATTCACAGACTCCAACAAGAAGAACCATACCACACTTCTGCAGAATCTCTGCTCAAACCTCTTCAATGTTAGGCAAAGGTTATGCATTTTCCTATGCAAATGGCCAGATATTTTTTTATAATTTTGCTGACATTTTTTAAACAAACAGCTTAATTGGGATAATATTTAAATACATAAAGTTTATCTTTGTAATGTCTGCCACTCAGTGCTTTTTAAAAATATATTAACAAGTCCAGGGTTTAGCTCAATGTCTTAAGTGCTTGCCTGGTAAGTGAGGTTGTGAGTTTGATCTCTGGTACCAAAATAAAATAAAATAAAATAAAATAAAATAAAATAAAATAAAATAAAATAAAATAAAATAACATATAAAAATGCCTTTATTTCAGAACATTATTGTCACTCCCTAAAGAACTTTCATACCTACCAAAAGTCCTTTTCTCCCTATTTCTAGCTCCTGGTAAATGTTAATGTGATTCCTATCTATGATTTGCCTATCCTGACCTCACTCAATCTGTGGCCTATTGTGCTGGGTTTCTTTCACTTATATGATGTTTTCAAGATTTATCCATGTTGTAGCATTTAGAAGTACTTAATTTTTCTTTGTAATTGAAGAATATACCATTGTACGCATAGACCTCAATGATTTGTTTATTTAGTTTTTTTTTTTTTTTTTTTTTTTTTTTTTTTTTTTTTTACTGAGACAAAATACCTGAAATCCACAAGTTAAGAGAGGAAAGATGTATTTCCGCTCACGGTTTACAGAGCTTTCAGGTGAGATACGACAGGCTCTCAGGCAAGGTGGCGTGCAGAGGGGCATCACAGAGGAGAAATAGTCCATAGTGTGCCAAGCAGGAAGCAGCAAGACGCAGACAGCCAGCCTGTCTTTCCCTTTCATCCTATCTGGGTTGCAAACCTTTTGGATGGGGCCTCCCACAGCCAGGGTGGGGATTTGTCTTCAGCGCATCCATTCAGCCACACTCAGAAAAATGCTAATTCCAGTTAATGGACTAATTTAGTACCACGCATCCTTAGTCCCAGTATCACATACCCTAAATCAGTGGTGGCAAACCTATAGCGTGCGTGTTGTTTTTCTTTTAAAACAAAAGATGTTAATGTATGAGTTATTTTTTCTAAACTAACACTCGGTATTTGGGTTTGATTGCAGTGTTGGCACTTTGTGAAAAATAAGAGGGTTTTGGGTTGCAGTTCGAGCACTTGTCTCTAAAAGGTTCACCTCCACTGCCTGAGATCTAGCAAGCTCAGAAAAAAAAAGTCCCACCTAGAGTGCATGAGGTTTGAAGGGACATTTAGACACAAACTGTAACATTCATTCCCTAGGTGATAGATATTTATTTAAGTGATTTCCATTCTTAGCCTGCTATAAATAATACTATTACGAGGTTCATATTCAAGTTTCCATATAAACATGTTTTCAGTTTTCTTGGTATATATCTAGAAATAGGTTACTAGATAATCTGGTAATTCTTTGTTTACTCTTTATTTAGAAAAAGTAGGAAGACTTTATAGAGAGAAAGAAAGAGTCTACCTAAGAGAGACAGACAGGGCCTGCAAAGTGGGCTGACCCTTACCTTTCTGAGAAAGTTCCATGCTATCTTTTTTCTGCCTTAAAAGCTAATAACTATCTGTGTAGTCTGTTTACCGAGGATTGGAAGCTTGGTGTTTCTGTTCACATATGTGGGCATCTACTGCGATCATGAGAATGGATCAAACAAACAGGCATTGTTATCTGTGGCCACGGTATTTTCCCACGGTAGCCCTGTAATAGACAAAAGCTGTCTTCTCTCTCTGCCCCTCTGCTCTGGACAGCATTCTTCCATTCTGTGGAGCCACCTCGCACACTGCCTGCTCCTTGAGGGTCCTCATAGAGGACTCTCTGCCTGCAAAGCCCCTAGAGGACCTTTGCTGGCACCACTGCCAGATCCCCGAGGGGAGGCCTTTGCCGCAGGTTTCTGTGTGCTCTTTCCTCCCTGAGAGACTGTGTACTCCGGCTTTACTCCTCTTCATTAGCAGTACCAAAAATGTATGGTGTCGTGAGTTCTCACTCACTGCACGCTCTTTTAATAGGTTTCTTATTTTGTTGTTACTGATTGACTCTAAGATCTTTGTACTGAGATATATCTTCAGCCCTTCTTATTTTTATTTTGAGACAGAGTCTACCTAAGTCATCAAGCCCCCCAGGTTGTTCTTGTACTTGCGATCCTCCTGCCTTAGCCTCCCAGAGTACAGAGATTGCAGTAGTACATCACCACATCTGCTTTTAAAATTCTCCTCATGACACTCCATAATTCTATTATACACATATATTTATATTTATAATGTCACTGCTTTTAAATTCATCAAACATGAATAAGTTATTTTGAATTTTAATAGATGTCAAACATTCTCACCTAGGCAACAATAACATAAAGAACTTCAAAGCATACGAAGTGGATTTTTTCTTTCATTGAAAGCATATTATCATTTTATCATAAGGCACAGAAGAAGTAGAACAAGGGGAAGTAGAACATGGGAAAAACAAATTATGTAATAGTGGTTACTTAGAAAACATCACAAGGTAAAGCTATGGCCCTGCGACTTAGAAAATGTCTCAGATGGGGCTGTGCTCTTTCTCCCCGAAAGCGATGGGTTTTCCAAGAAGGAGCTCAGGTACCTGGTGTCAGCAGGATGACCGAGGTGATGATCAAGGAGCAGATGACCAGAATGACCAGCAGTGCGATCGCGATTCCCTTCCAGTTTCTCTGTGGCGGATTACTGCCCACCAGCTCCTGAGAACAACCACGGAAAGACAGAAACCCAGTGAGCAACATGAGGAAGTGAATCCCATCCCAGATAAACATTCATGGTCCACGCCAAACAGCGAGATGCAGGAGAAGGCATCTCACCGCTTTGAGCTCTGCCAGTAACTTTCTGTGACTTTCCACTTCTGGGGCTGCCTCTGCCCTGGGCCAGGGTAAGATACCAGCTCCAAAGAACCCAGTATTATGCTGTGTGGACAGCTTTGTGCCAACCCAGCGCCCTCCTCCCAGTGACAAGTAAACAACACCTTGAAGCATGGGGTGCCAATGGCATGTCCCTTCTCACACCGCCCCATCCCCCATGGAGGCCAACTGAGAGTGATGGGATTTCCCATCTTCTCCCATTGCTCCCTTCCTTTCCAACTATGCTGTATCTTCTAATTCAGAGTACCAGTGTTAGCGCATACAAGAGCCAGTGTTAATGGATTTCTGCACGTGTCTTCCTCTGCTTATACTCCTGTGCAAGGTCTCTGGGTTCCCAATTCTCTTTCCCTGTGCAGCTCTCTGTCTCTGTTCCAGACAGAGTACCCTCCACGGAGCCTGCTCACAAAGCAGCAAGCATTGTGGGTGGGAGAGGGTCTGCAGACACTGCTGATGGGTTGAAAGAGTGGGTAAGTCTATAAATGTAAGCCAGTAAATTGGTTGCAGAAATCAGATTCTCAGTTCTCTTCAAATTATGGTGGTCATATAATTTATAGATCAACCTGGGGCTCTTTGAGAGACAAACGGAGCAATATTAATAAGTATAGGTCATAAATATGACAGTACGTTAGTAATATTTATTAGTAGTTTTACAGAAACAAATTTTATAGAAGCAGCTAAGGGCATATGGCCACACTGCAAATGAAACTTCTGCATTGGTAAAGATGTGAGAGTCCTTCCTATCTAGGGCCATAATTACAACTCACATGACCGAAGCTACCATCAAGTGGGAAAGTGATGATCTCAGAAAGTATATAAAACAATGCATAAATACATCTTCACCCACCAGTGAAAGTTCACTAGGATGTATCACGTTGCTTCTAGTGAAAATAAGGACAATGCCTTCTCTGGCCCAGACACACTCACCCTACGGCAGAAGGACAAGACTATTGTCATGGTTAATGATAGAGAGAGTGAGTCTAGGAAGATGGCCAGAAGACAGCAGACATTTGCAGAGCTGGTCCCATGGATGAGGTTGAAGGAAGTGCTCAGCTTTAAAAACCAAGGCATTAGTGAATCCAACTGTGACAGGCATCGCACAGAAAGTGAGACAGCTTATGTTGTGCAGAGGGCAGAACAGGGCCCCAAAAGAAATTTCAGAGAAGCGGAAATGCGTCAGTAAAACTCAGACTGTTCATACTGCCCAAGAGCAGAATGGGCTGTGAACAGGGTACAGGGGCACCTAGCACGGACCCTGGAGGGGTGGCTTAAGCTGACATGCGTAAGGCGATCTGCTGTTTCTTGGGAGGTCACTGTGATGCATGCCAAATTTTAACTCAGGCAAACAACAAAAAAGAAGCAAACTAAAACAACAAAACCCTTTCTTAAATTATATTTTCTGAATGCAAATTTTATCTTTGCAGAGTATTATCATCTTAGTCATTTGTGGTTACAGCTTGGTATTTTATGCACCACTTGTAACATCTGAAATGGAGGTGCGGGTTACAATAATAATTCCAGGTGGTGTACTGAGAACTAGTTTGGGGGTGACTCCCTTGCATGTGGAGTTATTTCCTTCCCAGTTGTAGAAGATAGAACCTGTGCACCTGCAGCACAACCTGGGCCTGTGCTCTCTCTGCTCCATTAAATGTGGCCTCATCTCTCCTGGTCTGAGCTTCCCTCTCTCCTGAATTCCCTTTGATCCTCTCCCACATTTTGTGGCTTATGAGGAGCATGGATTCAAATGCAAATCGTAAGATGAAGGTGATTTTAGAAATTACAGAAAAGTGAAAGCTGTGAGGAGGAAGGAAATCTCGGGTAGCACTGAGGATTAGGTGTAAATATATTCGAGAGCACATTAAAATTTACAAAGCTCTCAAAACATCAGATGTTGCTTTACTATTTATTACTACCCACACTAAATAATGGTTCAGGAACATTTAACACCCAATGTGGGAAAGAACTCAAAAGGGCATTAAATTCAACTCAAAAGGAAGAAATAGCTGGAGACTAATCAGACCTCTGTCTCCCTTTCAGTGCCTCCTACACTCTATCGAGGTAGAGTCCGAGCCTTCACTTTTGCCAGGTCCCTGAAGAAAGGTGACACAGGTAACAGTCCCATGAGCCCACCATAAAGCACAGCTGTCTTCATGCTGCAGGTTAGTCCACTGAGTAGCCACCAAGGGACCTGCCAATTTCATGAGAGGAAAGTGCAGCTGCCCACCTAGAGGGGCAGAAGGAGCTGCTCTCAGCAGAAGAAAGGATGGATGACCTCACAGTGAGTGGAAGGAAAACACAGTGCAGGGAGCTGGGGACGCAGGAGGTGTCTCCACAGTGGAAGGTAGCAGGTGCACAGAAGAGACTGCTGTGATAGTGTAGGCCTGGCAGTGCCAGCCACCAAGGGCAGCTGGCAAGTTTGCATTTTATTTCTCTTAGTTGAAGGCAAAGAGGTCAACCAGATGGCCCTCTCTGCAGGAAGGAGAAAGTCAGCTGACTCTGTTTTTCACAACAGTGCATGATCCCACGGATCCATTGCCCCTTCTCTCTGGCAGCCTTCACAAGCAGATGAGGACCAGAAAATTGTTTCTTTCTCCCTCTATGGAAAGAGGCCTTTATCAGGCTGTAGCTAGAAAAGGTGATAGTTTTAAAAATTCAGAGGCTGTGCATAAATCAACAGGAGGTTGGGCTTTGCAGGGGAAGCTGGGCATGAAAGAGCATCTGCTGGCTGAGAAGACCCTGGCGCACCATCCATGCAGCAAGGTGCTGGGCAGCAGGGGATGCATCCCACAGCTGAGATTCCCTCTTACTGGGCCTCGCTCATTGTGGGTGTGAAGATGCTTCTGCTGGCTGTGAGTGTGAAGGATGGATGAGGGACATAGCTACAACACGCCAATTAACACTGGCTCTGTAGTATGAGTCTGGGGGTTGCAGGGGGAAGGCTGAAGAGTGGCTTCCCAAGGACTGAAGCATTGTGCTTTGTGAGCAGAGGAAAGGTGCCAAGAGGTCCCCTACAGACCTACTGATTACTTTGAAGTGAAGTGTGGCTGGCCAGCCCAATTCTGGAGGATTATGAGTTAATTATGCATCATAATCACCTCAGAAAGAGGAGTGTGGATATTCACTCCCAGCGCCATCAAGCAGGAGGGCTCAGAGGCCTCTTCCACACCTTTCCTTCCTGCTCTGTGTTCTAACAGGTGCTCCTGCCTGTTCTCCTGGGTCCTCCATCCACTTCTGTATGGGCTTCAAGGATCTATCCAAGGTCTGTCACTGTCCTTCCTCATACAAATCTGGAGACTTCTAAAGATGATTATTTTATACAGTGTGACTTTACATTCTGCCAGAGTACTTAAACCCCAGTGTTATATCAATTTCATTCCTAAGGAAGCTCCTAACCCTCTACCTGGAGTCTGCAAAACTATGTTCAGAGACTGAATGCTTGCTCCATTAAACCTAGGAAAAAGTTCAAAATAAAAATAAGTCAAATTACTGACTCCAGTATCTATCTGTTAAAATTTCTTCTGGATTACTACTTTTACTTACAAATTAATTATCTGCAAACACCAGGGCTCAATTTATTCTAAGTTTCCACAGCTTAAATGACTGTGACTGATGGATTCTATTATGAAATTCATTCCAAATACATTATTCTTACTTTCAGAGCTCAGCCTAACTCAGATCTATTTTGATCAGAATGTTTTAAAGGTATTAGGTGGTTCCATAAATTCCCCAAAGAAATAGCACTGTGACCTGATCACCTCGGAAGAAATTTCACAATGCGTCTGTGAAAACGTGGCTATTGAAGGCAGCAGCAGAATTCAAAATCAAGCATCTGCATCTTTCCCGTTGCCAGGCCTGAGAACAATGTCTTAGCATCTGTAGGTAACGGCTGTCTTCCCTAACACACACTGAAACCCACAGGCAATTCTGAGCTGAGCTTTCTGTACTAGGCATTTTTTTTTTTTTTTGCAAATTCACCACATCATTTTGAGTGTTAAAAATTCCCACAGGCATATAATAAATATTAAGTGACTAACAAAGTAAGTTTCAAAGACAAAAACTACCAGCAACTTAGTGGCAGACACCAAAATGTGGGCTTGCCACCTGACCCAGTGTTCCAGGGGGGAAATTAGCCTTTGAAGAAGCATCCCAGAAAATGATCTAACTCCCTCAAAACCCAGGGGTCACACTCTGCCCCAGACCCTTCTCCTCTCTTCTTGAAGACTGCTCTAGGCTTTCAAGTGTGGAGTCAAAACTTGCCAGTGTATTCTTGGCTGGTCTCACGAACCCAAGAAGCTGGGCAGGTGGAGGAGGATTTCCATGTAATGAGAGGGTTACTTAAACTGGTTTGAGCTGATTTTGGAAATCTCAGAACAAAGAACATAAATTCACTGCAATGGATGTGGCCCTGGTTCTGTGTCCTCCATGTGGCGTCTGGTCACTGGCAAACACCTCCTTTGTGTGTGTAGAGAGATGAGACCAAGCCTAACTTAAAAGCCAGGATGCAAGTGACAACCACTCTCTTGGTTGACTGGCTGTTTTGAAACAACTAATTTATTAGTTTTACATATAATTTCTTGGGGGAAAGGCTGTCCATTCCAGTAGAACACAGTTACCAGTCCAGGAAAGCTCTGTGTGCCATGTAGCTGCCCCAGTAACCCCTAAGAGGAAGCCAAGATCACTCCCTGGATGGGAGGGTCTTCAGAATTCTGGAAGCTGGGGCTGTAGAAGAGGTTTGAGCTATTGTAGGCATTGCGTTACACCAAAAGAAGGAAAGCGATCCATTCACAGCTCCATGGAAACAGCAGCTGATCTAACATCATAACCAGACA